TTATTATTGCTTACTCTTGAATTATATATTTTCATAAAATCACATCAATATAATTAAGCTTTTTCTTATACTCTCTAAGTTTTCTCTCCTTCTCGATCTCTAAGGTTTCCAATTTTTTTTTCTCATAACTCTATCATTATCACCGTTTGTTATCATGAACTAAGGGTTTGTTCTCTTCAGCTTAATTTAAGTTTAGTGTAGTTTAGCTCCAATCAGTTCAGTTCAGTTCAGTTCATTTCAGTTCAGCTTATTTCAGTAAATTAGAACCGGCTCTAAGCAGACTATTACTACACAAGTTTAATAATATTCACCATTAACCAATAATAATAAACTTGATATTAATAATAAAAAAATTATTTTGAAAATAAGAAAAAAAGGAAGGAAAAAAACAAAAGACTCAAAGAGAAAAAAGATTGAGTGGGAGGGAGAAAAGGATAGTGAAAAGACAAGTCAGACGTCAAATCGGAGGGTCAAGAAATCATAAGACAGTCAGTGTTATGTGGGAGCTGCCAAAGTAGAAATTATATGTATTGTCATTCCATCCGATTTTCTCTCCTTTTTTCTCTCTCTCTACTAATTTACCCTTTTCTCTCTCATGATTAATTTACGACTACTACTAGTACGAGTATTAAAGATTTTTTCCCTAATACTAGTAATACTTCTTTTTATTCTAAGTATACTACTGCTCAAATGTGTTCTAGTAATCTCGTTATTTGTACACGTGCAATCTCATGTTATTTGATGTACGGACTATTGTTTTTGTTTCAAATTCTACTTAAGACATTGTTTCAAATTCTACTTAAACTTACGTCTTTTGTATGTACTACCTCCGTTACATGTTATTTGCAACGATTTGACATAAATTATAGAGGAAAAATGTCTAATAGTTGCAAATAATATGTAACGGAGGTAGTATGATCAAATTATTGGTTAGGGGCAAGTAAAATATGTTACTATATATGAAGTATGTATGTAACTAATTTAAGTACGGAGTAATAAGTAAAGTGTGTGTCTACATCCTACATCTCAAATTCGCCATTTTTTTTTCTATTCTATTTGTCTTTTTCTTTTGTCCCCTTTAATTCTGAGTAGATTGTTTACGATAAATTTAAGATTGGATTAGTCGACTAACCTCCAAGTATCCAACAATTGAATTTTATTCCCTCTTTCCATAATATATTTTTAAAGATATAAAGATAGTGAAGGGAGTACGCAACTATTGTTATTTCTTGTAAAGACAAACAAACATGTATTTAATGAAGCTTTGGATATAGAGGTATATTAAATGGGAAAGGTTAAGAAGTACTTTGTATATGATGACATGAAAGATTTGTAAAGTGTTTGGTACTTTATAGGTAAATATACAAATGTTGATTTATTTTATAAAAATATGTAAAATAAAACTTACAAATAACCAATTTGTTGAGATACTTAAAATGGAATACATGCATTGGGGCAGAGGGATACAGTAACTAACAACAATTTTGATCAAATAAATCCATAAAACTAAAATACAAATCATATAATTAAAAGTTGATCGTCAAACACGATTGATCTTTTTTATTAGTCAAAATTAATTGATAACAACTAAAAAATTAACTTCAAGATCATTAAAGCAGAGTGTAGTAATTAGTAGCAATATTGTGCAAAAATTTCAATCCAACTAAAGCTATAATCAGACCATGCCAAAGCTGTTCGCTTAGTACAATTGGATGCAACACTTTTTGGTCAAATGAGAGTTGAGACCATTTTTTAAAAAAATTTATTTATTTATTTATAAATTTTTATTTTTTAAAATTTTTATTTATTTATTTATAAATTTTAATTTTTTAAAATTTTAATTTTTATTACTATAAGTTAAGACCGATCTTTAATATGGCTATAAATGAAAATAATTTAGTACTCCATACTTCTTATCATTTCTAATTTCAATTTAATTAATTAATTAATCTCCTTATGGTGGTGTAATGTCCTTTTTTTATTTAGAACTAAAGTATAACTATGGTAATGCACAATATGTATTCTAGTTTACCAAGAAATATTTTCTTAGCGATAAAAATGAGTTAGGAGAGTTATTTATATTGCAACAACTTTTATGATTTTTTTTTAAATAAAATAAATTCAATCGGGTGCTTATTTTATAACTTAAAATTTGAATTTTGAGAGTTTATTTCACTATGATGCACTTTTTTTTAGCTAAATGTATAGTATATAGACTGCATCATTTAAATTTTATTTCCAATCTAACTTTCTGGTAAGAAGTTCATGCATTATCATTAAAGTCAAGGAGCAATAAATGGTTTGACTCAAGTAAAATTAAAAACTTACATTCGCATTAACTATTGTTCTCAAAGAAGAAGTACAATAGAAAAAGTTTTAGTAAAAAAGTTCCTTCCAAATCAATAATCATAAGACATAATGAGTATTGGTAAAGGGTTTTAAATCAATCATGGTATAAAAATACTGTAGTTTGTTTCACTATGATTTACTTTTGAACTTAATACATCTTTTTGCATTATATCTAAAGAACCCTAGGCATTATATTGTGTATTTGTGTGTGTATAAAGCTAATTTAAAACTTTTGGACTTATAATATATAAGCAGTAATTATTTGATTTTTTTTTTGAATATATATAGTGCTTTAAGTGATCCATTACTATACATAGGATCGAGGTCTCTTTTGTTTATAATAGCAGGGAGATTATTAATCAAATGACAATCTTTTATCTACTTGTAAAACAAAATCGTAATTGTTAAGTTTATATATATTCTCTATTAAAAAAAAGATTTATATAATTCCACCAACAAATGCATTTTACCCTGCATAAAGAGAGTACGGAGCAAATCAACTCTAAATTGAAATTATTTTGTCGTAACAAAAAATATCCAAATAATTGAGTCATACATGTATATATTGCATATCCTTTTCATGGAAGCAAAAATCTTTCATCTCAAAGCTTCAACTCTCACACTCATGATTTCTTCACATTTTCTAGGTATAGATTAATTTCATACACACAAATAAAATCAAAAAAGTTAAATGTAGTGAGTTTACTCTTTACATGTAATTAATCTACTCCATCCTATTTATGACCAATGTACTTTATTAATTTTACACCATATGGATCACAATATCTCATTCTTACACCCGAGTGAAAAAGATAAAATAAATAAAAATAAAAGATGATGATGTAATACTTACAATAAATATTACATAGACACTCTAATTATTATCCAACTTCAAAATAACTTTTTAATCGATTAATTTTATACTTTTAACCCTCGCTCTTTTGTACGTTGTCCACAATACTACGTTCTATGTATATCCAAGATATTTTCCCTCCTTTTTCACCATAATAATTATGATGAACATAAAAATATGTTTAATTTTTCCCACTATAAAAAAGGAAGTAAAGAATTTACCTCATCCAAAAAGGCCAAAGAAGTGTTTCTTTTAATCCTATTCTCCTCTCTATTCACCCTTTTGTCCCCTTGAAGCCAGTATTTTGCAGGTTGCCGTAGCTTGTCCCTTTAGCTTTTAAAGACCTACGCGTAGCACATGCAATTATTTCTTCCCCAATTCGTCCAAAATTTTAAATTCAAGTAATTAAATTCATTTATTACATCAATTTAAACATAATTTCTATTTTATTTTTCTTTGTTTACAAAACTAATTAAGCTTGATCTAGTAAAAATGATTGTGCCTTCCAAATTTTGGCTGATGGTTCATCCACTTCCAAGATACTCTATTGATCTAATCCGCTAACATTGGTCTAATAATTTAATTAAATAATAAGAGTTGAAGTTTAGTTTGGGTCGGTACTCTTTTACCTTAAGAAAACCTTATCAAATTCTCACATAATATGGTCCAACCTTTGATTACAATATAGTTTTCTACTTAAATAATTAAATGTATTTTCTCGGTTTTCTTTATACTAATACTTATACTTTTGTATTATTTAGAATTTTTTGCTTACCAAATATTAGTTAACAATGATCGTGAATTGATTAATATCTTTAAGTAAAAACATTGAAAAGAATCAAACAAAATACTATACATTATATTTTATATATAGCACAAAATATAGTCAATTAAAAGGTGTATGAATAGTGTAAAGTCAAATAGTAAAAGTATAAAAGTAGAAAGAAAATGCTAAACAAAATCTTTGTATGCACTCAATCCGCTTCAAGTTAAATACTACTCTTGAACATTTCATCTTTATTTAGCATAACACATATCTTTTTTGAATGTCTTCATATGTATTAACATATGATACTAATCTTAATATATAAGATGTTTTAGATTTATGTCAATGTATATCTTCAGTGTATCAACTTTTCGGGTTTTAAATCAAATAGATAATTAGATATATTAGTAATTTAATGATAAATGTGTTGGCAATATATATGTTGTATTTAACTTAAAACAGAGAAATGATAATAAAAGTCATCACATTTTTTAAAAGAATAAAAGTCATCACATAATAAAATACAAAACTAAATTATCAATAACAATAAAAAAGTAAAATGGTGCACAAAAGGAAAAAAAAAACCAACAAACCCCTCCTTATTTATTACTCCGTAGCTACCATTTATTATATATTTTCAATATAATATACTACTAATTTACGTCATCTAATTATTCCAATTATTAACTACGTATATATATATAAAAAAAAATTATTCCAATTATTTTTATTATTATTATTCATCTCCTTTTAAATACCCTCAGCCGACCACTCCATCCACCCCATTTGCTTTCTTGTATAATCCCCTCTTTCTCTCTCCTCTTTATCTCTCTCTCTTCCAATATTTTTTTCCCTTAAAAAAAAAAAACTTCTTTCTCTCATCTTCAACTATGAAGCTCACCTCAAACTATACACCATTTTCACATCCCTAAAATTTTAACAAATTCCTTCAATATTTCCCTTGTATTATTAGAACAATTATTATCATTTTTACCATTTATAACCCTAAAAATAAGAAGAAAATAAATAAAAATGAGCGTAGATGATTCCTTGCGATCTCTATCGTTGGATTGCCTGAACCTGTTAATCAACGGCCAAGCTTTCAGCGACGTAACCTTCAGCGTAGAAGGACGTTTAGTACACGCGCACCGCTGCATCTTAGCAGCGCGTAGTCTGTTCTTCAGAAAATTCTTTTGTGGGCCGGACCAACCGGGTGGGCTTGACCCACGGGTCATGGGTCAAGCCTCATCGCCTCGAGCCAGTGGTGGTCCGTCACAAATAATACCGGTTAACTCAGTCGGGTATGAAGTTTTCATGTTATTGTTACAATTTCTTTACAGTGGTCAAGTTTCAATTGTTCCTCAAAAACACGAACCTCGCCCCAATTGTGGCGAGCGCGGTTGTTGGCACACGCATTGCACCTCCGCCGTTGATCTTGCTCTTGATACTCTCTCCGCCGCTCGATCTTTCGGCGTTGAACAACTTGCTTTGCTTACTCAGGTTCGTTATAAATAATTTTAATATAATTTGCGTCATTTGGGTTGAATAAGTAGTGGATGATGAGCTGAAGTAAGATCTTAATTTTTTTTTATAAAACAAATATAATTCGGGGTTTGTTTTAGTTGGTCTTGTATACAATGGGTGTATTGTTGTTTGCCGTCAAAGTTGGATGAACTTGTTAGCTTTAAAATTGGCAAAAATCTCATCCAAATGGTTACGAGTACTTACTAAATATAGATCTTATGATGATTGTTAAGTATGTTTGTATAATTTAAGAATTGATTTTTGGGGGTAGGTGTTCAAATCATTTCAATCAAAGTCTTTTCTTCCACAGTTGCTGGGGGGGGGGGGACAAAATTTAACTGATTTCTTGTAAAAAAAACTTTACTTTCCTCATTTGGAGCAACTCATTGTCTAAACTCTAATATGGTAATCTACTCATGCTTACACAAACTCCCATAAATGCATATATAAACAAATGAATTATTCTATATCTTTATTAATTATGTGACATTTATCCAAATTTTTGTGAAATTAAATTTTGTAGTACAAAAGTCTTGTATTCATGAAATGATAAGACTTTGTATCATATTGATTGATTACTCATACTGAAATTGTCTTTTTTTAGCTATAACTTGTCATTCTATAGTTTCTATTAATTCATCCTATATGAAAATTGTAATTAAAGTGATTTGTTATTGAAAACTTTTAAAATAATTTCTCTCCACTTGTCATTAGAGCTTAATTAACACAATATAGGTTACAAACTAAATAAAATGCTATCTTTGTCCAAATTTAATTGGCTCACAATTAATTGTAATTACAGTATTAAGTATTACACTATCGACTGTTAAAAAATTACACTATCAATGTGACATCTAATTCTGAACAGAGGATGATTGTACGGAATTATTTGTATTCCGGCAATAGTTTGTGTAAGAAGTTTACCACTGAATTTGTGTAAAGGTCCAATCATATACATTATTTCATGCGTGCAAATTTTGGAATAAGATTTGCTCAACAATATAAAGTGATAGCCCGGACACTTATGTTCAGTTAGTTATTTGATCCACCCTGTATGAACCAATTAATAGTATTTTTTAATAAACATAATTAGACTATATTATTAGTGTTACATTGCATTATTGATCAATGTTTAATCTTGGGGATGAATTTAATTTGCAGAAGCAATTGTCAAGTATGGTAGAGAAGGCATCAATTGAAGATGTAATGAAAGTACTAATAGCATCAAGGAAGCAAGAAATGCACCAACTATGGACAACATGCTCACACCTTGTAGCGAAATCCGGCTTGCCTCCGGAAGTGCTAGCTAAACACCTTCCAATCGACGTGGTAGCGAAAATCGAGGAGCTCCGGTTAAAGTCATCAATAGCAAGGCGATCATCCCTTATTCCTCATCACCACCACCATCACGCTCACGACCTCGGCCTCCCTTCCCCCGTGGAACAGGAGGACCACAAGATCCGGCGTATGAGACGTGCACTCGACTCCTCCGACGTGGAGCTAGTCAAGCTCATGGTCATGGGTGAAGGCCTAAATTTAGACGAGGCATTAGCACTACACTATGCAGTAGAAAACTGCAGCCGTGAGGTTGTTAAGGCATTGCTTGAGCTAGGGGCAGCCGACGTAAACTACCCGGCCGGCCCCACGGGGAAAACCCCTCTTCATATAGCAGCCGAGATGGTGTCCCCGGACATGGTGGCAGTGTTGTTAGACCACCACGCAGACCCGAACGTACGCACCGTAGACGGAGTCACTCCCCTAGACATCCTAAGGACTTTAACCTCGGATTTCCTCTTCAAAGGGGCGGTCCCGGGTTTAGCTCACATTGAGCCCAACAAACTACGACTTTGTCTCGAACTCGTGCAGTCCGCTGCAATGGTGATCTCAAGAGAGGAAGCGAACGACAACAATAACAACAACAACAACACCAACAACAACAACAATAACACATCGATTTATGCACCCGTTGGAGGCGATCAAGAGAATACTAGTAGTACTAGTAGTAGTGGAAATGTTGGGAACATTGGTATAGATTCAAGAATGGTTTATTTGAATCTAGGGGCAGTTGGTTCAGCTTCAATGGGAGATCATCACCACCACCATAATGAGGATAATAGTCATACAAGTCACCGGAATCCGGCGTCGATTTACCATCACCACCACCAGCATCACCATCATCATAACGAGTATTGAAGTTAAATTTTGGAGCTGAGGGTACGGACGTACGTACGGTTGGTGTTACATATTTTAGTTAATTAATTGAAAACAATCAATATGTAATTATCCATCTATGCAACCTAAGTCAACAACAAAATTACTACTACATAGGTGGATAATACTAGAATTATTTACATAATTTTGCTCATCAATTAATTCAATTTGGGTTTCTCTCATTTTTTTTTTTAATTTTTTTTTCTTGGTTTTTCTAGGTTTTTATTTTTTATTTTTTGTGCATGATCAGTTTAATGATGAATGATTATATGCAAAATGCAGTTGATCATGTGAAGTGGAAATTCTGGCTTTTTTAGAGGAGCATTAATTCTACAAAAAAAAAGGAAAAAGAAAAAAAGAAAAAAAAATTTAAGGTCAATCTTTTCAATACAAGCCTGTAAAAATTAAATTATGTTTTGTGAAAATATTATTACATGGTTTAATTCACCTCTGTGAAATTACAATATCATGCCCTATTTATTGCTAACTTTTCTTTTCTTCCTTGTCTCCCACTCATCTTTTCTTCCCATTAAAATTTGTTGTTTCCTACCCTTTGGCTTTTTTGATAAGGTGTTCCTATATATTAAAAATATAGAGCTTTAATTAAAAAAAAAAACAAAAAATAGAGTTTTTTTAATTTTTGTTTTTTTTACAGTGAATTTATTCATTTTGAAATGTTCATCATTAATTCACATAAATTTATGCTTCTTTACTAATAATGATTATAATAGTGTACTATTTGTTTCAAAAAAACAAAATTATAATAGTGTACTATAAGCGCTATATTTCACTCAAAACAATATGACTATGACAAAAATTTTGTTTTTATAAAAAGTATTTTGACTGTTTAAATGTTTTTCCTAAATGTTTTGAATGTAATATTACTTTGACTTTTTATATACTTCTATCAATGATTATTTCAGTCAAGAAAAACTTTTTAAAACAAAGAGATTACTAATTACATGAGTGTTGATAGGTTAGCTCGTGATCAGAAGATAGTGCTAATAACCAATTTATAGTGTATAATAATAATCTCAAAATAATGTTTATTTTTATTTTTAATAATGAGTGCATTGTGTTGAACAATATATCATGACAATATATTGAATTACTTTTCAACTTGCTATCAAGATTGCAATACTAATACTATTGGTTTAAAAGTAAGGATGTGAAGTGTGACTATTTTCCAAATTGGTAGCAATTGTCATTCTTGGGAAAAAACTACAAGTCACTTCTAGTTCAAAGTTTTAAATGTTGGTACAACATTATTAATCATTGGTATCCATTTACAATTTGAGAAAAACCCTTTGTATGTATGCATCCTTATAAAGGATAATTTTATGTAATTACTAAAACGGACATTTGTAAATTAAAATGTAATCCAAAATATTATAACTGTTAAGACTTCAAAGGTCAAATTAAAATAGAAAAGTAATTTTTAGTAAAAAGATTCTCTTTTTAATTAGTCTATATAAGTATGTTTTTTTCATCAAGTCTTTCCTCTTGTGTATAATATAATGGTCTCTATTTTTAATTATAGGATAACTTATCTGTAAAGTTTTAGAAATAGTGTGATTGTTATTCAAAACAAATTTGATTTCAATCAACATTCATGTCGTTTGACTCATTCATAATCAAATAATAATTGTCTTAATATAGTTTCTTGTTATAGTTTGAACTACTATATATTACTACCTTAGTATTAAGAATATTAAGATAATGCAATTATTGGTTATGATAGGATTAAATATTATAGTGTATGCAAGCTTTTATCAAAATTTGAGGTTGTAAATTGACTTCCCTAGCATGTCTTGGTATTGTAGTGTAGTTAGTTAACAAGATTATATATTTATACATGTAGTTTATTTTCACATATTTATTTATAATATATGTGGCTAGATCTTGTTCTATTTGGGAAAATGAGCTGTTCATGCCTTTTATGGTTCATTTCTTTTCTTGGCTACCTCCAATCAATAAACCTTTTCACATAAGTTCAAGTTTGATTGTCTTTTTGGTCTAATTGTAATAGTTTTTTAAGGCTTTGTGGGTGCAAATTATTGATTGGTTTGTCTTGGATGAACGCAGCAAATGAACTGTGACCACCAGCAAAAATGGACTTATCATAGCATATACTATAATTTATTATACAAAAATGCAACAATATCTTATCTTAATTATTCTTTTTGATATCTTATTAATTAAGTATTTAGGATTCCAATAACCCTCCTTTTGCTTTTTCTCGACCTTGCCATTTTGGGGAGCTCTACTTAATAATTATCTTTCTTTCTCCTTGTTCATCACTTAATTGAAACCCTAGGTTTAGCTCTCTCCATCACCTAAATTGCTAGCTAGGTTTGGCCTATGATTGCGCGATTCTTTCTCACTCTTGCTCTTTTCATATTCCCCATGTGACCTATTATATAAAATTCTCATTCGTACTTTAGGCAATAGTATAATTACTCTTTTTGTTTAAGTATCTATTCTTATATTATGCGCCCGACAACAAAGTGATGATACAGATTTCCCGGTATAATTATTTTGTATCACTAACAGATCTACATATTTGACCTTTATAAATCCAAGAAAATTAGGATTCTTAGTTCTTGTAGTATGCAAAGATCTTGACTTCATAAAAAAAATTAACTACTACGAAGTATAATGGTAAGGTGTTATAATAGACAATTCTTAGGTTGTTGTAGTTGAACTTATTTTGATACATGCATGAACTAAATGAGTTTTCCTAATGATAATTTACCGAACTCAAGAGAATTATCTTGTAAATTTAGATGACTTGAATATATCTTTTACTAACATTTATGTAGTTAATATAAAAAATATATATCACTTCATTATATAAGTAACTAGATGAAGCCCGTGCGATGCACGGTTTGTTTGATTTTTTTAAAATAATGTTTTTTTTTTGTATTTATGAGCCTAAAATTTGTTATATATTTAGATAAAATTCCTAATATTAAAAGATAATATATAATATTTAATTTTTTTTTGAACGGATATATAATATTTAATTAATTTAAACTTAAAAATCTCATTCGCCAAATTTGCTTACATGGAATTTAAATTATTTAATTCTAAAATAAATTAATAATCTCTTATTTAATTGGGTACTACTAAGATTTATAATCCTACATGGCGCGCTGAGAAAATTAAATCCTACGTGACTTTCTAAAAACTCGGGAAAAAACTCCCCTTTATATATATAATATATATATTAGATTATGTACTATTTACATATAAATGATTTATTTAGAAGGATGCATGGACATTACCATTATGAAAGCAATTAAAGTATGGGCAAGATCAGGGTTGTTATGTGAAAAGGTGCAATTTTCACCTAGGAAAATAATACAGTCATTTAGGCACAATCAAATAGTAAGATGGAATCATACTTTGTTTTGGCTTTAGTCCTGTCACATTTTAGCATATGTGTCTAAAGATTTTGTTGATTTCCCAAGGTAATAGTATTATGCCAATAATTCATCTCTCTCTGTTAGTTTGTTATTAACATCTTAAGATTACAGTTTAATGGACAATAATATTTGTACTTGCCGCTATATACTCTCATACTCTGTACATCTATAAATTTTTTGTGCATTAGCTATCATATGTGTTGGGTGTGACCCAAGTTTGACCCAAATTTTATTAGCCCGTGGATTAGATGGATTATTTTTTGCATATTTTAGAAGCTTTCAGATTCATGTAGCATGACTCTTATTGCTCTTTTTCTCTAGATTTTACTATTAGCGTGTAACATGTAAGCCACTTGAATAGTCTAGAGAATTTTTATATGGTTCGTGAACATTTAGAATATTATGGTTATAAGAATGATGAAGGAAGTTCTAGAATCTTCCACCCATTTCTTCCAAGCTCCATTTTCAATTATAAATATATACATAGACATTCAATCAAAATCCATACACACACAAGAAGCCATATCTATAAACAAGTCTTTATTTTATGTAGTGAGAGTTTGCTTTTACTATTCAATCTTTAATATATATATATATATATATATATATATATATATATATATATATATATATATATATATATATATATATATATATATAGGACTATAGGATTACTGCAATTACTTTATCTTATTATTGTCATTTCAATCTCTCTACATCTTTAATTTGCTTTCGCTGTGCAATTACCACACTAAAAATATGTATAATAAACGTAATACTTTGTAGTTCATACTGCTGACAATATGCAAGACTAGTAATTCTAAAATCTCGTAATATTGAACTGATCGTAAATTGTACCCGAAATTAGGCTACTCAATTCTTCAATATACAATACTTGTCTGACCGACTTTGCAAATTAATAAAATAATTAAATAAAACTTGATCATAGTTACAAATACTTGATAATAATTGGATCTAAGAATATATTTTAATGGGCCCAAATTTAATCAATATAACTCATCATCTTTATATGAGTTGAATGAATATTTTAACTAGTGGATTATGACTCTATTCCTTTCTTCTACCACTGTGTTAATTTACAAAATGTAATCCATTTAAAATATGTAATAAATCATCAAATATAAATTATATCTTTTTATTATATTTGTTATTATTTTTTTTGTTGGAATTTTTATTTGTTATTATATATATATATATTTTTTGGTTTTCTACCCAGTTCACCCTTTGGGGCTAATCCGGATTCGGGGATCAGTTCTGGGTGGTTAGGTTCCAGTCCCCTCCCAATTGTTGTTGCGGGGGATCTAACACGGTCCTCCCTACCAAGTGTAGTCCCAATCATCACTACACCAACGACCAATTGATATTTTATTTGTTATTATAACTAAGCTACACAAAAAATTTAGCGGAAAATTATGTAAGTATTGTTTTATCATAATTAATGTCATGCCTTTTTATACAATTAGTTGCATAATTGTGTTCTACACAATAAATCCAATATTTTTGCACTATATCTAACTAATTACAACCACTACTTGAATACCTTTAAGTGAATACTCTATGTGTGTTGAGTAAACTAAATAGCCAAATGTTATTTAACATTATCAACCAATAAACGATTGGTAAACATACAAGGCCTATATACTTCATAAGTAATTGGTACATTGCCTTCATAAGAAAAAATGTTTCTTGTGTTTCAATAATCTCATTTTCATTTTTCAAAGTTGGTTAAAAATAGCCTAGAAAATTCATAGGCAAAACGTTGAAATCTTTATTAGGGTCCATTTTTGAAAACTTAGTTTTTCCTCTTTTAATTGAATTTTTTTTAATGGTTTATTAGTTACTCCTATTACTTATTACTAGTAGTAGACACTCTAGGCTTTTTTTTTTTTTTTTAAAAAAAAAACTAACTTAAAAACTATCCGTACCCTTTCTTCTCTTCATTCACTGATTATTTACAAATGATATTTCGATTAAGAAAAGTAAGTTGGGCCCCAAGCTACTTTGATAAAAGCAAATAAACTGAAGGTCATAGTCGAGCAGATTAGGATTAAAATATGACCTAAGTCATCGGTTGAGTCATGACCAATCTC